GTTCTGTGCAGCTGGGACAAACAAGCAACAGGTAGATTCATAGGTTTTTGAGAATCCTAGATTCTGTGTCTTTAGCAAGAAGGCCTCAACCCTGAGAAACAATCAAGGGCAACATCAATAATCTATAATGTTTTGGGAGTCACTTAGCCTAACTACCCTGATCACCCATTGTAAAAATAATAATGTATACATATATGATTTTAGATAATATAGAATGATATAATTACTTGAGCCATTATCAAACAACCCTAGTGTTCATCATTTCTAGTTTCTTTTTGAATTAAGTTTTTATATTCTGAATAGTCCACATTACTTCGTTAAGTATGTATTTGTGTTTTCTTGGATAAATCAGGATTTAGGTTCTGTTCATTATTAGCTTTTTTGGTGAGTTTTTTTGGGATTCATGAATTCTTTTGCCATATTCATAGTTATTTTTTTGTCTAAGTGCTACAGTTTTAATTAACTTGCCTCACTGGGAACCACTACAACATGTTGGATTTTTTGGAGAGGGGATATACTGTCTTGGGTTTTGTTGTTAATCTGTTTTTCTTAGGAGACCTTCCACGTAGAGTTAGGTCATTTATTGTATCTTTGATATGAGATTTTAATCCACTGATCCTGAGTTCTGAGTTGAGGCTTAAAGGCAATAGACTGGAGGGGTTCAGAAAGGGCAGAGTCACACTGGAGCTGGGCCAATATTTTTGAGTCAGACCATGGGGACTCAGACCTCTCAGACAAGGTTTCTGGGGTGAAAATAGTAGACTTGTGTGGAGTCTCGTTCTCTTATACTGAGTCCAACTCAAAGGGCTGGGGCCCTGGCAGAAAATGTCCAGTGGCTTGAGCAGGAACTTTGAATTGCTATTGAAAAAGTTAGAATTTACAAAAGTGGTCTGTTTGGTCTTTTCATGAACCTTAGAAAATGTATTTATTTATTGGCATTAATTACTTTTATTGGCACACATGAACAAGTCTATGATGTACTTTAACAGTAATAACCTTTATGAAATTGGTGCTGCACACCCAGATGACTAGTGAGTGAGGGAAGAACCTTATAGTCACAGCAGAAAGAGTAATGGAAAGATGGTTTTACTGGTCCACTAGTCACTACAGTAACTTTCAGCCATATACTTTTAAAATAAAATCTTCCAAGGGAGGTTTTCTCTCATTTCTAGGAGACACAATTTCACAGCAACTTTCCTTGTTCTCTGTCTCCTTCACTCTCTCTTCCTTGCTGTTCCCTGAGCCTTAGGTGATGAAGCCTCAATTGGGGCTGGGTACCTAACTTGTTCTCTGTATATAAGAAAGACCTGAAGAAGTACACCAATAGAGGTGCTAACATGGAAATGGAAAACCTCATAAGGCAATACCTGTAGAGAAACAATTATAGTAAACCAGGAAATGCTGAGATAGCGAACAGTCCTCCACAGGTTGAACCTCCTAACTGGTTACCAAGACCAAACGACCAGTCCTGAAACTATACCTATCCTGTAAAACACAATCTGAACTTTGTGTTGTATTCTGGAAGGAGCAGACAATGATTTAAACTCTTTGGGAGAGTGTAGACAGTGTCTGTTTTATGCTGTGTGTATTTTATGTGACAGGGCATTAAGTTTTATGTTTGCCCTCTCACAAGCATTGAAACTACTTTCAGAGCTCTTTAGACAGTTAGCTGCTATGTAGCCACTTGGAGTTCTCAAAAGTTCCACCCTTTGCCCTCAACAGAAGGTTCCTTTCTCCATGCAATTGAAATTCCTTTCTCCTCTGTTCTTGTGCGACAGTCCTGGCTCTGTCCTCCTTCCCTGTTTCCATTCCTTCTCTATAGGAATCCTAGGACTGGGGACCCTGGGCTCTTCTGTTACCTCGCCCTCCATACTTTCAGAAGACATTATATGGATGTCCCTTTTCCCTAGAGCACCCTGTTCCCTGCAATTATATAATGCAGCTAGATCTACCAGAGAGCTGTGGAAGAAAAAGTGGAGGACAGACTTCATCTCATACAACAAGCAGTCAACTTACTTAGTTACACAGCTTTATTGGGGAGAGGGGGTCTCATATTCTGCCTGAGGCAGTTTTGCTTCAGATTTTGCTTTAGTCTCAGTCCATAGCTGAGAGTGGAAGACTCTACTTCTTGTTCTACCCAGAACCAGGAGCTTAGCAGTCAGGCCCCTAGTGCTCAGTTTGTGCTCAGCTCCCCCTGTGGCTTCTGTCACTGTGTCACTCAGAGCACAGTAGTACACAGCCGAGTCTGACTCCTGGACTGAGGCTTTCTGCAAGTGGAAGGAGCTGGATTCTTTATCATATGTAGCTTCAAAACCTCTGCTGCTTCCCTTCTCATTGGCCTTCGAGGCTCTGAAGAGGAGCTGTGGACCTTCTCCGGGATACTGCACGTACCAGAACAGGGCTGGGTACCCTGAGGCTGAATAGTTGCAGTGTATAGTAAGAAAATCCTCTTCTGAAAGGGTCACTTGACCTACCGTCTGTATCACTGATTCCCCATGGGTTCTTGCTAGAGAAAAAAGCAAAAATAAAACAGATATGTATGTCACCTTAAAAACAAAGCTCTTGGATGAATTCAGTGCTCAAGAATTTTTTGACATAAAAGTGTGAAAAGTTTAAATCACTTTACTTACCGAGTACGAGGAGTATAGCAGTCACGAGGCCCGGAGAAGAGCCCATCCTTCATGCCATCTAAACAAAATGTCTTGATGCTTAGCATGTTGAAAACAGAAACGATGAGTCTAAATTTAAATTCACACAGGAAATGCTATAGTGTTATGGTGCTGCGCCACCTGGTGTCCAGAGAGTAAACAGCTAAACGTGGCAATATTTGCTAAAAGACATGGAAATAATGAATTCTTAGATTGGGTTGAGGATCACTGCTACTTCAAAGATCGTATTTTCTCTGCTTTAAGTGAATGTCAATTTTAAGGCATTTTTTTAATTGAAGTTTTATCAGGGGAGAAACCACACTGCCTTAAAAAAAAACTCAAATATTTTGAAATTCCAGGACAAGAAACACAGAGATTGAACTCTATGGAGAGATCTGAACTTTTAAAGATTCCCCGTCACCCTTAAAACTTTTCCTTCTAATACAAACTGACTTGATCTCCCCATAATGTCTATATAACAGACTTCACTTTTTGCCTTCTTCGGCAATGGGATCCTCTCAGTGTTTTTTGGTTAATCTCCATACGTTTAAAACATGAATCTCCTTCCTTGCTAAGAAGGCACAGGGCTTAAATGTAACCATGATACATGTACTTCCAGCTTCTTGTTAGCATGTTCACCATTGTTTTCACAGCTTGTGTGATTAGTTGCCCTTCCTTCTAATTGTTTTGTCTTTATTGGTTGTTTTATGTCCTAAGGTAATAAGTAAATGACTAATATGTGGCCAGCTTATGTATCATTCACATTTTTTCTTCTGTAGGAAAAAGAAGCACCATGAGATATACCAGTAGCCCAAGATAATTACAGCCTCTTTTTTTTAAAAAAAAATAGGAATACATTTAAGAAATTAGCCACGTTAATATTTCATGGTATTATCAGATGTGGGGGGAAATAGACTTCTTTCTCTAAAGCCAGGGTACACAGCACTCTGAGAGAATAGGAAACAAAAGTTGCAACTTGGTCTACACCCTGACCTTTCTAGTTCAGATGCTGTTTTACTTTTATTTACTAGTTTTGGGTTTATTATTAAACTACAATATTTCTTCCTTACCTTCCCTCCTTGCAAACTCTCCCATGTGCCCTTTTTCCTCTTGTTAAAATCCACAGCCACATTTTTTTTACTATTTGTTATTGCATGTGTAAATATATGTGCATATATATGGACATATTCTCCTAAACACAACCTATTCGGTACATATAATTTTATGTGTATGAATGGCTTCTGATGTGACCATTTGATGTTCTTTTTTGGATGAGGCCACCTCTCTCATTCCCAGCTCTCCTCAGTTGCATGTACCTCTCTGTGCAGGGTTTAGACCTAATGGGTTGCTCCCCGACCACTTCTGTACATTCATTGTTGTCATCGTTGTTCAGCTCACATTTCGATGGTCATATTATTGAGACTATATTTATGTAACTTCTGATAGCAGTAAGAGACACAATATTTCAGCAAATTCCTCAACCCTGTGGTTTTCACAATCATTCTGCCTTCTCTTTTGCAATGTTCCCTGAGATTAAGGTACAGGAGTGTTTTAAAGATGTATCCATTGGGACTGGGATCCACAATTCTGCATTCTGATTAATTATGGTATTCTTCATTGACCTTTATCTGTTGCAAAGAGAAGTTTCCTTGATGAGGGGTGATGGCTACAGTTATCTGTGGGTATAAGGACAATTGTTTATAGATTGTTGTTAGGGATTATGTTGGTTTCATAAAATAGATGTTCTAGATTCTCCTCCAACAAATCCACATGCCCTTTATCAGTTATCTAGATTTTCAATACCAGGCACAGTATCCCTATTGTGGAGTGCAACATGAGTCCTGTTAGAGAGCTGTTGGGTGCTGCTAAGGTTTGTGCCATTACTGCACCTTGAGAATTATTGAGCCTGCTGATGGTTGATGTGGTTCATAGATATCATAACTGGGAAGGACACTGTTGCCTTCCTCCTTTGGCAGCTTGCATAGCACTTTTTGTACCAAAAAAGCCAGTCCTATGGAAGGGGCATTCTGATCAGTCTTAGCTTAGTGGTTTCTGGGCCCTATGTCTCAATGACTGGTGTCATCAGTAATAGGGATTCACCATTTTTGGGTGATAATCAAAGGCAACAGAATAGGTGTTTGTTTTTGGAGTTCCTTGGATATCTCTGGCTATGAACTCAAAATAGGGATTATCATGAATGGCGTTGAAGTTTTGTTAGATGGTCTTTGGGTCTTGGAGGAAGCACCATATGCCCACAGGAGAAATATATATTTTATTATAGAAATTATTTTTCTAGGTGAATAGTCAATCATATGGTTCCTTCTGTCATTTTTCCAGGCCCTATGGCAGGTTTTAGGTGCCTGGAGAGCAGTGTGCCCTTGTAGCACAGAAGTACATGGCAGAGTCTCCTTGATGGGTGTCTGTGATGTGCAGAGAAAATTGTTTGGCTTTCTTATCATGTGAAATGATCAATCTTTGTTCCTGCTTTCTTTCCACATTTGAACGAATGCCAATAATCGGCTTAGGATGCTTTCCAGGTTCTTGCTTATACCAAGGGAAGTAGTACGAGATACTGTCAACATATGTACAGTTGATAACAGCTATGGATCCCTCCTGGACTCTCAGCATGGAAGGACGCTGCTCCACCTGCTTGCCTTGGCTCAGACCTATGCAGAAAGATGGAGAGAAAGGAGAATGGTTGTCAGGTCATCACTTTCCAGAATTCTTTTTTTCTCCAGTCAATAGAGAAAAGTTGAATGAAATATAGTTTCTCCTGGATATCTCAGAAATATTCACTGAGTATTCAGAGGTCTTAAAATCTTAACTCACCATCCAGTTGCAGCCACAAGAATATCAATAAAGTAGGAACATATGTCTTCATTGTTCTTCCAATTAAATTAAGATCCAGGGTATAATTGTGATGTCTAGGAGGTCAACTACAGCTATTGGGGTGGTGTTCTTTCTTTTAGAACAATTCTACCTCTTGAGTCATCAACTCAGTCACTGAGAAAAAGGCTGTGCTTTTGCCCTAAGCCCATACAATTAGCATTCAAGGAAGTGAGTCTTCTGCATATGCCCCAGATGTTGAGATCTACTCCCACCTTGTGGTTGCACTCTTAACTAGAGAAGCCTCTGATTTAGTGTTCTCTGACCTATGAGGGACTCAGACACACAAAACAGAAATATATCAGGTCAAGTGAGTTCTAGTGTTGAGAGATCAAGAACGATATTTTTACACACTTGTGAGTTTGCTTCTTATATTTAAATCTAGCATGGCATACTCATGCTTCTATATAAATATATATATATAATGTTTTCATATGTAAATATAGATGATATGTTCATATGTGTATGTGTAACAACATTTCTTCTATCTTGAACTGTCTCCTAATCCACTACCATATCTCAGAGTGCTTTGATCACTCACCAAACATCTCTCATTTTCTCAGATGCAGAGTCAGTATGTATCCTTAAAGTTATGATACTTTGGAAAAAGATTTTTTCAAGTCTTTCATGGACTTGTGTTGTAAGAAAAAAATATTTTTTCTATTTTAGTGAGTTCTTTTTGACAATACAGATATGATGTTTTCGTGCATGTAAGTTAATTTCCAGAGAGGCTGTCCTGGAGTCACAAATTCACATAGCTGACCTTAGGGAACTTTTCATTTGGTCTTGAGGATGGCACAATCCATTTCTCTCACTCCCCAGCATCTAGACTGAATTTCTGACAGAAGAGCATTGGTGGATTCCCTAGAGAATCTGCCAAACCTTATAAGAAACCCATCTTTCCTCCTTCCTGTGGACCCTCCCAGCATCCTCTGATTCTAGCCCATTTCCTTTTCTTCGTCTCAACTGTGCACAACTACAAACACTGTTTATCTGGGAATGCAGTGTACACACAGGTTTGGAAAACAGGTAGGGCATCATCAATATCCTTTGTCTCCTAATTTTAGTTCCCGTGGTATCATCTTAAAACCTCTAGCAGACCACTGCTGTAGGAAATCCTACAGCCAATAGCCTTTAAGTTACCCACCCACTGGGGTATGGCCTCTTATACTATTTACATGGATGTAAAGAGTGTTTCCATTCTCTCTCTTTTACAGCTGTGGGATTTGATTGCTGTTCTCCATTCAAGCAGAGAATATTGATTTGTGAGTCTACCACTAAATAAATAACCATCTATTATTCTCAATTCTGAGTTAATGTGGGATTTTCTTTGAAGTGTCCATCTTCATCTGGTGTCCACGTGGATTTGGACTCCACACCTACTTAAAATGGGCTGTTTTTCCTTTCTGCCTCCATCCCTCAGGGATTTCACCAAGACTTGCAGAGGACTCAGTTTCCCTCATACCTGTGAACCATCTTAGTATCCACTCTAGTTCATTCCCTTTCCTTAGTATTACCCTGCAATACATAAAAATACTTTCCACCCCAGTGACCACACTGGCAGGGTCTCAAGTAAGTTATTCACACTATCCTTCATTATCTTCCACTACAGTCTCTTTATTCTTATGATCAATCTAGTACCAACCTGCTTATAGGGCCTTTCCTCAACTTCAGTTACTAGACACTGCAACTCTTGGTTCAGACACAGGGTCTATAGCCCTTCCATCCCTATATCGCCATAATTCTTTGCCTTACTACTACTTCAGGAATCTATCTTCCAACCACTCTGCAACACCCGACGGATCCTACCTCCAGTTGCAAACAGAATCCCCTTAGCTTGCTACTGAAGACTTTCTCAGTCTTTTCTCCTAGCCCACATCTGTTCCTGTCTGTCATACTTTGTCACATAGAAGCACTCCCTAACATACAGTAAAGCCCAAACTTCACTAAGATTCAGAGAGTTCAGCAAAAACCAGGAAAGAAAACATCCACTGAACAAAGAAAATACTCGATACCAAAATATAAAAATGATATCCCAATCCCAGATATATGCATGTAAACACAAGCATTGATAGCCAAGAATATGTTTGTATCAGAACCTAGTAATTCTACTACAACAGAAAATGCAATACAACTGAACCACAAAACAAGGAGATGAAAATAGATAATTATAAACTTGACCAAGGATCCTAAAGTGGATATAACTAAATCCCTTAAAGAAGCCTGTGAAAACATACACAAACAGTGTAACATAATGAAGAAAGCAACTGAAAACATTCAAGTAGAAATAGAATCACTACAGAAAATACAACATGAGATAAAACTGGAAATAAAAAAAAATTAGGGAGTCAAACCAAAGTATCAAATGTAAGCTTCACCAACAAAGCAGAAGACAGAGAAGAGGAACCCCAGGCATTGTAGACGAACTAAAGAAATGAACATCTTGGACAAAAAAACAAAATAAAAACATTATTAATTGCCATTGTTCTTGAGTTCTCAGTAGTCCTCATTGTCCGCTATGTTCAGAGAGTCCGGTTTTATCCCAGGCTTTTCCAGACCCAGGCCAGCTGGTCTTGGTGAGTTCCCAGTAGAACATCCCCTTTGTCTCAGTGTGTGGGTGCACCCCTCGCGGTCCTGAGTTCCTTGCTCGTGCTCTCTCTCCTTCTGCTCCTGATTTGGACCTTGAGATTTCAGTCCTGTGCTCCAATGTGGGTCTCTGTCACTGTCTCCTTTCATCGGACTCTCTGAACATAGCGGACAATAAGGACTACTGAGAACTCAAGAACAATGGCAATGGATTTTTGATCCTACTGCACGCACTGGCTTTGTGGGAGCCTAGGCAGTTTGGATGCTCAACTTATTAGACCTGGATGGAGGTGGGGGTTCCTTGGACTTCCCACAGGACAGGGAATCCTGATTGCTTTTCGGGCTGAGGGGGGGAACTAAATTGGGGGAGGGGGAGGGAAATGGGAGGAGGTGGCGGGGAAGAGACAGAAACCTTTAATAATTAAATAAATTTAAAAAAAGAGTGAAAAAAAAACATTATTAAATCTAAAAACCTATGAAAGCCATCAGGGAAGCTATACTTGTAAACTATCCCCCAAAATGATAAAAATATCTTGGATAAACTCTAACCTTGCAAGGGAGAAACTTGTATATTAAAACTTTTAAAATGTGGACAAAAGAAACAGAAGACATCAAATAATGAAAATATCTCCATGCTCATGAATGGGTAGGACTAATATAGTGAAAGTAGCCATCCTACCAAAAGCAATTGACAGATTCAATGCAATCTCTGACAGAATTCCAACTCAGTTCTTCACAGTATCAGGAAACAAATAATTTTCTGCTTCAATGCAAATGCATACAACTCAGCATAGCTAAAATAGTCATGAATAATAAAAGAAGTAGATAAAATTTTACCACCCCTGATTTCAATTGTACTACAGAGTTGTAGTGAGAAAACAGCATGTTATTATCACAAACACAGACATGCTGATCAGCAGAAAATAATTGAAGACCCAGACATAAATCCCACACACCTATGAACACCTCATTTGATAAAGAAGGCAGAAATACATACCAGAAAAAAAGACCACATCTTTAATTATGCTGTTCAAAGTGAGTGGCTACATATAAAAGAATGCATCTAGAATATTTTTTATCACCCTGTACAAAATTCAAGTCTAATGGATTAAAGACCTCAAAATACATCCAGATATTCTAAATCTAATAGAAAAGAAAGGTGGAATAATCTTGAACTCATTTGTAGAGGAAAACATTGTCTGAACAGGACAACAACGGCACAGTCACTGGAAACAATAATCAATACATGGAACATCAAGAAATTGAAAAGCTTATGTATGGGCAAATGACACCATCATTTGAACAAAGTACCAGTTTACAGAGAGGAAAAATATCAGTGAGAACTAGTCATCTGTTATAGGACTACTATCTAAAATATATAAAGAACTCAAAAGACTAAAAATCAAGAAAAGAAATAATCCATTTAAAAATAGAATAGAGATCTAAACCGAGTTCTTGAAAAATAAAACACATGCAGCGGAGAAACACTTAAATGTTCAAAATGCAAAATAAAAGGACTATGAGAAACTAACACTTGTCAGAATGGCCAAAATCACTAAATGACATTTGTAAACAAATGACATGCTGGTGTGGATCTAGTGCAAGGGAAATGAACACTCATCCACTGCAATTGAGAGTGTAAACATTAATAGTCACTATGATAGTAAGTGTTGTGGTTCTTCAAGAAGATGGAAATATATCTACCTCAAGATTCAGCAATACTACATTTAAGCATATACTCATAGGGTTCTATACCCTGCTACAAAAGCCCTGCTTAATGATTTTCATTGCAGTTCTATTTAATAGTAGCCAGATTAGAAACAGATTTGATGTCCACCAAGAGATAGATAATGAATATGTGGCACATTTTCACAATGAACTATTACTCATACCTTCTGCTACAATGTCTGCTTCAATGTCGTGTTCAACCATCATAAGGGAAGCTTCACTTGCAGTAGATGGGGGAAAACATATGGGCATACAACTCCACAACTGGAACATTGGCAGAGAATGGGAGACCTTAGAACACTAAATGGAATGTCTTCATTAAACTTTTCCTCGCAGGGCTGTAGTAAGAAATCCACATACATCTGTTTAATAAGTAACAAGAATTTATTAAGATATGAAAAAGGGACAAATACACTTACAAATACAGGAAATAGTGAATCCAGTTGTAGAGTTCTTTGAAAGCTGGAGAATGACACACACTTTATGCAGCCTGATCTGGTCTTCATCACCCAAGCCAGTGTGACCCTATCCCTCCTTCCGTTTAAGAGGTCATATTGCAGGGAAGAAGCACAACCTCCATCAGGCCAGATATACAGGATCATGGACTGAGTGAACATTCACTACACTTCTTCTTTTCTGTCTAAATGAGAAGGTTCTAAACCTAATACAAGGCTAAATATA